GCAATAATCATATCTATGGTCGCTAATGGATCAATAGTCTGGCAGAACTGTACAAGTTCTCTTCACAACCTCTTCACATCCATGTCCAATCACAGGCGAAGAGCGCTGCTCTAACAGTAATTACAAACAAGATGACTGGTCTTGGAACCAACAGTGAGAAATTTGATACTCTGGTTGCACAAATTTCAGAAACTGAAATGCCAACGGACAGGTTGATTGTGAAGCATAACTTTACAAAAAACTTTAAAAGTGAACTTGGCAACAAAACAATTGAAGCTGCCAAACTTCAAATAAACAAACAATATACAGGACGCCGACCAATGAGCTGCTGTGACCAGTAAAGGATACTGAAACCTAAAAATAACCCTAAGAGAAAAACGGCGATAGTAGACGACCAGTCAACCGTCAACATACTCCGAACTGAAAGTGCTACTGATGACAGCAGAGCTATAATAGCATGATACTACCAGTAAATCTACTATATTGTACAGCCTATGCTGAACATTCAGTCGACTATGATCCGGGATGATCCGCAAGAAATGGCAGACAAATGCAGAAGGCACACGCAGAATGATACCAGACCCATCTAGTAGAAAGAACTCACCACTTAAACGGCGCAGAGGAAATCAAAAACCTAACTAACCAAAGCCCTATACAATAAGGCCTTTAGGAACTTACAACCTAAAACGCTTCAAAGATTGCATGGCACAATCAAAACACAACCTAAGAATTATTACGGGATTATTGACCGGTCACTGTAGACTGAATCATCCCCTAACGAAGTCAGGAATAGAAACCAACTCAGACTGCAAATACTGTAGAGAAGAGAGAGAAACCACATACCATGTGCTTGGGAGTGCCTGGCATTGATGCACAAGCGGAAGAAACACTTAGGAGGGTATTTCATTGATCATAAGGATTCAAGACTTAAAAGGATAGGTTTTATACGGTCTTTCATTAAAGAAATGGGACTTGAAAAAACACTCTAATCGGACTAAGGAGCACAATAAATCTTTAAGGTTGCAATTCACTATCCACTCTTTTCAATAATAAAAACAAATAACATTTAAGAAAGCTAGTTTTACGTTTAAATATTGTAGTTATTGTAGATTAAATATTGTAGTTATTGAAGAAAGAATGTTCGAAGAACAAATGAGCGAAATTTGGATATTAAAGTGTTGCCAAGAATTTGCAAATGGCTGAAGTAGGCTGGGTTAGGTGATGGTAAGGGGCATTGAGGTCAAAAAGCCTTTGCCTTTGTTTACAGAAGATGCTACAGAAATGAAGGATATGAATAGGTTATGTGGGCCACCGCAAAAGCCGCAGAGTATGTGAAGAAAGTTGATTCACGGACGGTATAACTCCACCACCAATTTAATCGGTTATATCCGGGAATTCAGAAACCCAAAGTTTGTTGGAATAGGAGAACACTTCACCTAAGAATGATCTCACCACTAAAATACGAGTTAGGAACTACTTGCAGGAGAAGTGGACCATCGGAGCACACTATAAATTTCCATTTTGAGACTATTACAAACTCAAGACCAAGCATAGGCATAGGGTTCAGTCATGAAAAGATATGCGCCATTTGTTAACCAATCTCTATATATTAAAGTCCGGAATGAGGCGAAATCGCAAATGTGGTAATACCCTGTCCCATTAGGAGCCATATTTTTATATCAAAGTCCATTTATTTATTTTATAATGTTCGATTTGCTCTTTTAATAGGCTATAGAACCCTGTGTTACTCATTTATGTTTTGTTACACAAGTGAAACTTGAGGATGATGGATATTTAGTCCTAGCTCCAACAGCACCCAATAATTTTCCATCTGCCTAAAGAATGTAGCACAGCGACCTTTTCTAGAAATTAGTTAATACCTGCTTTAAATGGTAATCGTGAAATATTTTTAGACATTCGACTTATTGTTGTTAAAATTTTCGGGTAACAGATTGTAGATGGAATTGTTTTAGTGAACGAGGAAAAAAAAGAAGTGCTATGCCTTAGTGTCATGTAATTCAAAGGACAAATGTTTCGTGTGTAGGGCTTGGCGTACTCTCCGTTAATAGGAAAAGCGAAATTAATTTTAGATAAAAGAAAGACTGTTGTAGCGTTTATTAGGATGATTGAAAACAAGTATCATAATGTTGAAACAAAAGTAATGGCAACTTTTAATCAAATATAACTGTCAGGGTCTTTCGTTACGATTAAGTTAATGTAGAAAAGTCCAATTTGATTTTCTATATATATAGAAAAAATATACTTAATAAGGGCTAATCCTGCTCCCGAAAATTAAGCCCAACTTTCAACTTCACAGAAAATGTAAGAGAACTTATTTACTTACCACTAAGGTCTTTGATTTAATAATTTTCACAACACGATTGAACGCGATTGATGACCAATAAAAGGAATAGGAACGGCAACCCTATACGGTCGAAAATTTTAGTTTAAATTCTCAACCTTGCAAACTTTTTCAGGGTTTAAATCAATATTTTCAAACTCTGAGGTTGACTTTTTAAACCTGCCGAAGTTCATAATTGGTAATATACATATAAGAAAAAAAACTCTAGAAGTTGAATGCTTCAACTTTAAAGTTTAAATCGCAGAAAATAAATTGCGTGAGTTCATAACATAACCCACAAGTTTTATTTTAAAACCATTAAGATTCTATTAAACTAAATGGTTTAAATTATAAACTCATTTAAGTTTGGATAAATATAAAAACCCTCTGAGTTTTAAGTTTAAACGAACATTTTTGACCGTGTGTAGGATGCCATTGTGTGGCTAATACTCGTACTATAGTTAAAGGGATAAAAGACAACCGAGGATGGTATGAGATGGACACATTGGTAAGAACAAGATGTGTGCCTTTTTATAAATAATCCTATACTGTGTTTTCATTAAGCACAAGAATTGGATAAGTGCACAATATAGGGCTTGGGAGCTCAAAACTGTCTATTGGCAGAAATATGTGTTTTATGGATGCAAATAATGGATGGATGCAATGGAATGGATGCAATGAATAATGGATGCAAATATGAATGCAAGACTGCAGTTATTTATTAGAAATAATAATTCGTTATATTGGTTTACGTATCCATTTAAATCTCATTGTAAAATTACGAGTTCAAAAAGAAAAATAATAATTATTTTTAATTGAAGTTATAGAATAAAGCTTTATATATTGAGACAAAGCATGGAAAAAATACTCTAAATATAAACTTCGAATAAATAGAATATTAGAAATGAATACTAAGATTTTGGTCAGGTTCTATACCGAAATTTGGATTTTATAAATATCAAAAATGAATGTAATTTATATCTTCTGTTTGAGGAAGGGCGTTATTAAATGTTTGTTTAAAGTTGAAAACTCATTAAATAAAAATTTTTATGTACCTTTGTGTGATGCAAGCTATAAATAAAAACTTTTAATATCTTGTTGATATGGTGAACATATTCTTATTAAGTAGAATAACTGATAACACACCATCAGTGCTATGAATAAAACATCTATAGGTCTTTTCTCTTGTAAGCATGTCGTAATAGAACAAATAAAATAAGCACTAGTTTTGATGGCAACTCTGTACAAAATGCCGATTTTGTTAGGATTTTATGTGCAAAGACGTAATAAAATTTATAGTTGAAATTTTGAAAACGAATAATAATTTTTACATGATTATAAATAAAATATAATTTTTCACGCCTTTTGACTGTAAAATAATAAATGCAAAAAATAACGTTGTTGTTAAGAACAATGATGACACGAAATACGAATAATTAACGAAATCATTCGTTGACAGTTAACTGAAAATGTCGTAGGTACACAATGGATGAATTTTTAGTGTTGGCAACCATGCGATTTGAGCTGCTTATTAGTTAAGCGGTTTCAGAAAGGTTGAACTAAATAAGTCAACAGTGTTGTTGTTCCATATGTTATTTTTCAAATAAGCGTTAATTCTTTTGTGATATGCTTACAAAAGAAAAGGCCTTATACATATAAACTTTGAAAAGTGTCAACTTTTTATGATATTTGCAAAGTTTTATAAACGGTATCATTTTAACGATGACAGCTGTTTTAATGAGGCTACTTTTGATATTTTTAGAACAATAATTTAAAGCAGTTTCGACTCTTTATTTATCAAATGGTTTACTAAATTTAAATACGGCCGTACAATCATCGATGCTGTTGAACGCGCTGTGACATCTTTAAGATTTCAAAGGAAGCAGTCGGTTTCAATGAGTTGGGATTCACCATATTTGGCCACTAGAAGTTACAACCAGATCATAGACCTCAAATAATTTAAGATGAATATTAAATGATTCTACAAAATAGGTATCAGCATGTTAGAGAAGTGCTAGAGTTATTGTATTACATTTGAATATAACTATGTAGATTAATAAAGTCAAAGTTTCCAGAAAATTGGCATTTTATTTATTATCCTACTGACATATCAGCCAACATATTAAAGTATAGTTAGTTCCTGAATGATTACTATAGTGACTGGTAATAGGTTGTATAAAACAAATTGTTCCTACATT